TTGTAAGGAAGACATGGGCTCAGTATTTCAGATGCCTAGAAGAATAATCATGGATTAGATAACCCAATATTAATCTCTACATTTCACCCTTCTGGTAGCCTCCTCTCACATTCCTGATTTATTCAGAGACCAGATAGATTTTTAATTGCATTTAAGTGAATTATTTTGCCATTGCCATTTCCTCTGAACTGTCAAGTTCACAGGTATTCAGTCTATGTGCTCTATTAATTCAGCCGTTACATATATTAAATTCCAAGTGTATGCCAAGCAACATGCTAGGTGCTAGGTGCATATCTTTGGCTATTTTAACATTTCAAGGAACTGGAACTGAGAAAGAAAACAGCCGAACAAGAAAAATTCCCATATATGAAATGAATTACTGCTTCCCTATTTCTTTATTGCCATATTTTAAGTTTTTATCACTGTGGGCTGAGAAACAGAATATCCTAAAAGAAGTTTGCCTCTGGACGAGGTTTTGGAGTCAGGCATAACATATTATTCATTGTCACTCTGGAGCAGTGTTAGAGGATAAACAGAGTGAAAATGACATGAACCGTCTCCTCATGTTGAACAGAAAACAGCACAGATGGAGCCACAATATAAATCTTATAACAAATGTATATAACTACCAAAACAAGCCTCTCCATGTTTTCATTTCCTGTGGTCTTATTTTTATTACACAAATAATATCATACTACACATTCACTGTAAATTAAAATGCTGAATTGCACCGATTTTTAAAAATTGACTCATGCCCTCTACCTATCCCACCTATTTCTCAGATATAACCATTGGTAACAGTTTAGTGAGTTTTCCTTCAGGTTTTTCCTCTGCATACGTGTATGTCTTTACTTTTCCAACATAACTTACATCACACTATATTTTTGCTTTCTTCACTTGCTCAGTATCTTAGACATTGAGCAATGTCTTTTTTAAATGCTGCATAATATCCCAGGGTATAAATGTACTATAATTTATTTACTGGTATATAATTAAGTAGCTTCCAATTTTTTATTATCAAAAAAAGTTTTAGGGCCGGCCCGGTGGTGCACTGGAGAGTGCGCCGCTTGGGAGTGTGGCGGCGCTCCCGCCGAGGGTTCGGATCCCATGTGGAGACCAGTTCCCGCTCACTGGCTGAGCGTGGTGCAGGCGCAACACCGAGGGTTGCGATCCTGTTGCCAGTCCCCGTTACGGGCGCGACACCGAGGGTTGCGATCCCATTACCGGTCAGTAAAAAAGACAAAAAGGAAAAAAAAAAAAGTTTTGGCGAGTATCCTTATAACATATCTTTGTGCTCATATGTTAATACATTAGTAGGATTAATTCCTAGAAACAGAACTCTTAAAGATTATGAATAGCAATTTATGGCTGATAACTGCCAAATTATAGATCTTTCTGCAACACAATCCCTATTATAATAGACCATAGGGGCCACTAAAACCATCAGTCAAGTAGTTACAGAGCAGTGGTTGTCAAAATTTTGTCCCTGGACCAGCCTCATCAGTATCACCTGGGAACTTAAAACAAATACAAATTCTCTGGCCCCATCCCAGAGAGACTGAATCAGAACTCTGAGGGTGGGATTCAGCAATCTGTTTTAACACTCTCCAGGTGATTCTGATCTACACCAGAGTTTGAGAGCCACTGCTCTATAGTGGGCTTTCCAGCTACTCAGATTTGTGCTAGGAGCCATAGGAAAATGCCTCTTAAGAACCCATAACCTGGTTGGAATAGTAACATTGATCATGATAAATAATAGCCACCTTATTTGCTAGCTAGCTTAGGGAAAGAGCATTGTCCTCAGGAACTGAACAGAAATGGATTCTATTTCTTCTCTGTGCAAGAGCTTTATCAAGATCACCTTGAGAACCTTGTATTAATCCATTTCTGTTGCTTATAATAAAATACCTTGAACTGGATAATTTATAAAGAAAACAAAATTTATTGCTTACAGTTTCAGAGACTGGGAGGTCCAAAGTCCAGGGAACACATCTGGAGGTGGCAACAGTGACCCCAGAGTCTCACATGGTAGACTAATGTGGAGCAGAGAGAAACTAACTTCTCATATGCTCTTCTTTTAAAGCTTTCAGAACCACACCCTGACCACCATTATTAATCCATTCACTACAGCGTGGTCCTACAATCTAATCACTTATTCAAAGCCCCACCTCTCAATTACCATAATAGGATTGCCACCCTCAACAGTTACAGTGGGGATTAAGTTTTGGGAGGACACTGAACCCAAGGCAAACCTACAGGTGCATTTCTCTGAAAGACTCTCTCGTTTGTTGATATCAGGTCGACAGTCTTCGGTACCCATGGACCTGTATGGTGGAGCTGAGCAGGTGTGCAGGGCCTTCTCTACCCTTGTTGATCAAATTGCTTGCCCAATTTGAAGTGAGAAGGAGTCCAGGTTCAAAGTCCCCTTGATGTGATGGCAAAATGCATTTTCAAAATGTGTATTAAAAGAATTACGAGAGAGGTAGAACTCTCTGTCAATAGATTGGTATGAACTATGAAGAAGAAAAGTTTTATTTTTTAATCTCCCTACTCATGTGTCTTAGTTCTTCAGTTCAGAGTAAAGCCTCAAGGCAGGGTGGGCAGGGAAGAGAAAGGAAAGAAGTGGCAGAGTTGAATCCAGATGTGCCGAGTTTCCATCAAAGGGCCGTTCTTACTTTGAATACTTTGGCAGAAATATTCAAGTGTGTGGTCTACATGAATGCATGCAACTGCCTTCTTCACATATCATTTAAATTACTGAATTAATGACCTAATTTTCTTTGTGGATGTTCCTGCTAGAGAACAGGTTTGGCAAAGAACTAAATACACATACAAACAATTGACTACATGGAAAACTGGTGAAATCCAAATAAACTCTGGATTTGAAACATCAGTTTCCTGGCTGTGATGTTGTGCTATATGTTGTACTAGAATGTTCCCATTGGGGAAACTGGATGAAAGTTATACAGATGTCTCTGTATTTCTCACAACAGTATATGAATCAATAAGTATCTCAAAATAAAATAAAATAAAAACATAATGTGAATGTCTCTAGAGCAGCACATCTGATGATTTTCACCAAAACACCTGTGTGTCTTTTTCCTTGTATGTTGGATTAGGTTATATAGATGCTTAACTTAATAATGTCCGAAGTAATAGCTAACTTTTTTTTTTTTACTGTTAGTATTGAATGCCTAGTTTCTAAGCACTTTGTATGTACTAACTCATTTAATCCTCACAACAAACCTAGAAAGCAGGTATCTTATTTTATGAGAAAACTGAGACACAAAAAAGTTTAGTAACTTATCCAAAGTCATTTGGCCAGTACTTTGTGAAGTTGGGAATTGAACTCAGCTCCTGAGCCTGTCCTCTAACCACTAATCTATACTTTCTCTCAATACATATTGTTATGATTCCAATGTTTGGTTTATGATCTTGACCTTCAGTCCATGTTACATTCAGAGAGGCTGTGAATTTTTATTCACATGATCTGTAATTCCTACTATTGTTTACAGAGTGAAATCATGTTCAGTTATATAGGATTAGGATAGGGTTATTCATGTTCAATCTCATTGTAATATTTTTAAATTTGCTTTTCAGCCTATCATAAATTTTTTATTTTGGTTTTGTCATTAATATATTCACTCTCCTCCTTACTTCGTCCCAACTTGTTCCTTACAAACTGGATATGCATGCCCTAGAGCCTGGGTCAGCAAGCTATAGTGATGGGCCAAATCCTGTTCACTGCCTGTTATGTACAGGCTGTGAGCTAAGAGTGCTTATTGAATCGTCCCAACTTGTTCCTTACAAACTGGATATGCATGCCCTAGAGCCTGGGTCAGCAAGCTACAGTGATGGGCCAAATCCTGTTCACTGCCTGTTATGTACAGGCTGTGAGCTAAGAGTGCTTATTGAATTTTTTTAAATGGTTGATAAAGTCAAAAGAAGAATAATATTTTGTGATACCTGAAAGTGGTATGAATTCAAATTTCAGTGTCTGTAAACAAAGTTTTATTGGAATGCAACCATGCTTATTCATTTATGTATTATGATAGCTGCTTCTGTTCTACCAAGGCAGAAGTTGATTAGTTGTGACAGAGACAGGATGGCCCATAAAGCCTGTAATATTTATTATCTGACCCTTTACAAAAAAGTATAGCCAAGCCCTGTTGTGGAGTACCAAGGTGAAGGAGGAGCAAAGGGCAGGCTCTTCTACAAGCTCATTATCCAAGAGTGGTGTCTTTTCAATGATTTGCAAGAGGTAATGAGTTTATGTGATGGTTTTGAAGAATAGGATGAAAGACATTAGAGAAAGGAGCACAAAAGCAAAATCGTGAGCCTATGTAGAACAGGCAGTGAAAGGGTGGCAGCTTTTTAAAGTGCTCATCCTCCCAACTAACTAAGAGCTAAGGCTGGGCCGTCTCTCCCAGCTCTTTCCCCAGGCTTTCTTCCTTTCCGTGTTGTAAGGACTTGGCTAATCCTCTCATGAAACTGTGTCATCTGAGAATAACACTTTAGATAAGATTTCTAGCTTAAGGAAGGCCCTAAACCTTCAATGAAAATATTTACTGAGGCTTCCTTTGAAATGGAAAAAGCAAGGGAATTGTTAACATATCTGACATTCAAACTGGCTCTCAATCATTCGTTATAATAGAATGATTGGAGAGGTGGGAATAATTAGAGATAAAAATAGCCTTGTGTCTGGAACTCAAATAACTTTGCTAATTGAACTTCTCTGCTATAAACCTCATTTCAGCCTGTTCATTTTTCAGGGAAAAATTATTTATGGATTCTTCTCTTATAATGTTGTTCATTTTACTTTTATTTTGCTTTTTAATGCAAAGTATAACCACTTATAGAGTTTTAATATTCAATCAAATAGGAAATATGCTAATTGGGAAATAATTTATACTTATTTATACTTATACAGTTTTATTAGAGTTTGAACATCACTGATGGTAACATTAAATATTGAAATAAAGAGACTCCAATAACATTACTTAGGGTCCAGAACTTTTATTAGTTTTATTAATTAAATTAATTGCTAATTAATTTCCAATAGAAGAATGCTTTATTTGCCAGTTTTTTTGTTTTGTTTTATTTTTTTGCTTCATCCAGTATTCAAAAATATTCTCTCAAACAAGATGCAGGTATCGTGGACCATTGGTAACTGGTAATTGATAAATATAGTTGCTTATATGCCTGTGCATAAGCAGTCCGGTGGTTAATGGCTTGGAAGTCATGCAGCGTATTCAAGTTAAATGTATGGCACCCTAGTTCATTAACAGTGTCAAGCATCCCACAACAAATTATCAAATGAATACAAAGTATCTGAGTCTCCCAATCCCAAGTCATCTTTGGAAGTTACTTAACTCCTTTAGACAGTGGGATGGTCTGGCAATAATGTCACCATTTGAAGGAACATGCTAGCAGCCTAAAATAATGATGCTTTAAATAAGTACTCTGAGAGATTTGGCTTAATACTTATCTCTGGACATTCCCACCATTTAAAATAAATAAATGATCAATAGTTAAGAAAAAATATTTATATATACATTTTCTTAAATTCCAAGGTGTGAGTTAGTTCTGAGGTTAGATTTATTTTCTCTTTATTTCCAGATTCACTCTTCCAATGAACCTAGACCCACTCCTGTGTACATGCATATTTATCAAATCTTCAATCAGCTCTTTCTTCTTTGGAAAAGGGGTTCTTAGAAGCTGAGAATATGCACCTGAAAGTAGAGAAAAGGAACTTCATAAGGTTACCAGATTATTTTCAGGTTAATTAAATATCAATAAATTGTTTTTAAAAAGAAAGTTTGATGTTTCTGCCATTCTGCTATCAAAATTTTACGTAAATTTATTACAGGGGTGTATATGTAAATTTGTATGTAAGCAAAGTTTTGTATCCTATGCAGTTTAGTTATATAATCTAAATTAAATAAATTATAATGAATACATTTTCTTGTTAATTAATGTGCATAGATATATTTGTCTTATTGAAAAAGTAAAAATGGTCCTATTTTAATACAGAAATATAAAGAAAAAATTTTAAACCACCCATAATATAATCTTCCACACATAACCATGGTTTTATGCACACATACTTTATACCATAATTTACTTAACCATTACCGTATTGTGGAGCATTTTGATTATTTCCAGATGTTCTGTTACTATAAATAGTATTGTAATAAAGGGCATTGTGCTATGTCATTGGCTGTATCTCTTAATGTTTCCTTAGAATACATTTCTAGATGGGTAGTTGCTGAGTATGTTGCTTAGGAAATTTCTTGGAGTAAAGTGGGAAATCAAGCACTTATGTGTCTAATTATTTGTGGTTTTGAAGCATTATTTTCTCTTGTGTATAGTATCGAAAAAATAAGCAGTATGAATATTTGCCAGCTAGTCAGACACCAACTGAAAACACCATCACATAATAAATCTAAATTTTAATTTTCTCATCACAGAGAAAAGCAAAGACCCACTATATTTCTAGAACATACAAACTGCCAGGCCCAGAAAAGCAGATTTTTCTATCCTTCCCAGTGGCAGAGCAAGGTGTGCTGAAGAAAGAGGCCATCATTTTTTACACAAACAAGAATGTACTTCAAAATCTCTTCATTTGCATTGATGCCTTTACTAAGCCATGAGTTAACTTCAACTGCTATTTTCTATTTGGGCATTATCAATGTACTCTTTCCCTAAATCAATTAATCAGTCTTTCTCTCTCTCTTGATCTCTCTCTCCCTTGACACAGTCTATCAGAATTTAGTAATTATGTCTGGGCACATCTTCTTCACACCTTTCTTTGAATACTTTAGCATTTAACTATTAGCCCACATTGTTCCAGACTAAAGAACAATGGACTTTGGAGTCTTCTCTCATAATGACATCTCTAGCCCTCAGATATTTTTGAATTCTCATTTCCGAACCTCCTCTGCTCCTGCCTATCATTGTTATAAACTGCCCCGATGTCCACGTCATCACCCAGCTCGATCAACTGTCCTAGGGTAAAGCTCTTAATCTTGGAGTAAGATTATTTCTATAGTCAAATAAATGCCTTTCATAGGTTTCTTCTTTATATAATCAAAAACAGTAGAACAGAGAGCATGAAGAAACTTTATGGGTCATCTAATTCTTTCCATAACTCTTTTTTTCAGATGAAGAAACTGAGGGCTAACTAAATTAATTACCTTGCCCAAGATTAGGAAATTTCTTGGAGTGAGTAAAGTGGAAAATCAGGCATTTGTGTATTAACAAATACGATGCATTAACATGAAAAATTATATAGGGTTTTATGTTTTTAACAAAGCATGATTCATAGTAAGATTTTGCAAGTACATTTAAACTATTTGGTTTGAAGACATCAAAATAACAAGTCTCTTTTTGCGTATTATGTAGACACTTACTTCTCCCTTCTGACCTGATGATGTGATTTTCCTGAGAACTACAGAAACAAACACTTCTTCACCTTCACCCCCATCCCAACCTGGCAGCATATTATCCCCCAGGCACAAAAGAAAAAATTATTGGAGGATTCATGCAAGTACATCCAGAGCCCAGTTGAGCCTCTAGAGATTTAATCAGGCCTCTTGAAATGAAATCTCAATGTTCCTGTAACTATTTAACTTTTGGACATGGTATCTCCTTGACCCAAGACCCTCTTTGACTGTAATTATACAAACCAAATGGAAAGTCTTGTTTCCTGATCTACAAACAACTGTTTGTGTCAAACATTAAGATAACTTCAATAAAGTGAAATGTTCACTCCTGCTACTTGGCTACTTGCATAGGAACTCTCCCTAAAGTTTGCAGACCAGCTGAGTCAATAGCAGCTCTGTAGCAAGATGAAGGAAGTGGCTTCCAAAACTAGTTTCATGTTCAGCTGAACACAAATAAAATTATTTTCATTTATTCTGCAGACATATCTTTGAGTTATTCAAAAGGAGTACAAGATACGGAAAAAACTGGTAATGATTTGAGTATGACAGCTGACTACGATAAGAATAGGAGAAAGGGCCCTATGGACCACCCTCAGCAGAAGAGAAGAAAATATATGGTCCTTACTGATTCTGAGGCCTGGGCAGCTTCTGTTCAAAATATTGTTTTAATAATGGTAACCAACATTTAAAGACATTCATTTTGTATTTCTATTTTAGTAGCAAAGCTGCTAAAAGAATATTTCCTCTAAAAAAGGAAAGTGGTTTAAGTCACAATAGCACTTACCAAAATAATAAATGTATCTACAAATAATAACATTGAATTATCTGGTTTTATTGATCAGCGAATCATGAGGATCTTTAGTTACTGAGGTTAAAACAAACTAGATATATAAATGCTCTGAAATATCTTAGGAAAGAGTACATTAAAATTATTACTGTTCGTTGCTATTTTAATAGAGAGATTATGGGAATATATAACAATTCTCACAATAAAATGTACAAATGCACAAATAAGTTATGCCCCAGTTTTCCAATGATGCATAAATAATTGTAAAGAGTTACTGTCACCCGAACAGCCCTTGCAACAAGGTTTGGAAGCTCACTGGTTGAAATGACACCAAAAAAGAAACAAAAACTGTATGAATAGGGCTCTGCTTACTCACAGGAGCGCACTCACCCTCATTCTAATTCAATAAAGGATATTTCTTCTTTACCTCCAGAGAAGACTATTTGAATATAAAATTTATTTCACTGAAAATCTCTAAAATTTGTAGGAATTCCAGCTTACTAAAAGTTAATTACTCAGCTTTCTGGAAGTTACTTAGTTGAGATTCATTCAAAAAGCAACAAGGAGTAAATCTATGTGCCAGATGAATCTTTACTCTTTATTTCATCAACTAAGTACCTCTCAAAAGTCTCCTCCATTTGCATGAAAGCAATGTTTTTTCAGTTTAAAAGGGGCAAGAGTTTGTGTGCTGAGAATGTTTCCCTGGCTTATAGTCAAGTCTTCCCAATTCCACAGCAAGTGAACACCAGGTTATGACTGCCAATGCTCAGGCTAATGGAAAACAGTGTTGGTCTTGGGACTTCCCTTTGTATCTTTATGTTGTATTTTGGGAATCATGCTATTCCTTACTTGTCTTTCTGACTCTTCCTTGCTGCTGTTGACATGAAGTATGAGGAGGGGGATAACATGTTAATATAAACTACTATAAAATGCAAAAATAAGAAGTGCTATCATCCTATCACTTGTGTGCTCATGGTGTTCACCTCTGAAGAGGAATATATATGACATTGGATTCCCCTAAAGCCTTTCCCTTCTTCTTCACAATTTAGCCCATTCATAATTGATTGACCCTTTCAAAAGATATGGGAGCTGGGATTAACCACCTTTTTTACTCCTTGTGTGTAGTTGCTGTGCTGCTGAAATTTTCTCTTCCTCTCCTGCCAATTGCCTCCTTCCTAAGCCATGGTTCCTGGAGAGGACACAGTCCACATAGATGTCCCAGAAGAGTTGGGCCAGATCCCAAAACAGTGCACCATGCTTCAAGTTCTCAGATGACTTCAGGTAGATCATAAAATCCCAGAAGCCTGAAACAGTGTTGGAAATGCGAGGCTTCCACATTTCTAGGAGGAGCACTGAGGAGGATTCCCAGCACTGAGGATCAGCCCTGTTAAGGGTCAGCAGGTCTGTCTGGCTATGACAGAAGAAAGGAGACACACAGCACATTCCCATAATGAGCAGGGAGCAGGTGAAGCTCAAGGGGCAGTGGATCCCTCCTCTGTTCCCAGGATCGGCCATGGCCCTGAAACTGAACAGGATGGAAATATCTCATCAGTCCCTGCTCATGATCCCCCCAGTAAAGAAAGTAAGTATGCCCTTAAGAACCTTGGTTCCAGCAAGGAAACACATCATTGTCACTAAGCAGGAAAAGTCTTATCTCCCATATTACAAGCCCCATTCAATGTAAAGTGACTCATTGCCAGGCCAAGTAGTGACTGTATTTAAGTTAAGAAATTTTTATTCCTAAGATGTGTTCTTAGGAATAGGAGCTTATTAGTAAGATGAATAAGAGAATCTGTTTCTCTCTGCTACAGAAAAATATACTTTAAGAGAGTATTAAGTGAACATTTAAAATCATGCTTGCATGACTCTAATTATTCTATAATATCTTAACTAAGCCTAGCTATCCTAATCTAGGACTCCTATACAATTAGGAATTTGAATATGTTTTACCTTTGGATGCTTTCCTGTTCACAGTGACTTTTAAGTTTTTTGAAAAGACATCACAATTATAAAATGTAATAAAGGGCCGGCCCGGTGGCGCACTGGATAGTGCGCTGCTTGGGAAGCACTGCTACAGAAAAATATACTTTAAGAGAGTATTAAGTGAACATTTAAAATCATGCTTGCATGACTCTAATTATTCTATAATATCTTAACTAAGCCTAGCTATCCTAATCTATGACTCCTATACAATTAGGAATTTGAATATGTTTTACCTTTGGATGCTTTCCTGTTCACAGTGACTTTTAAGTTTTTTGAAAAGACATCACAATTATAAAATGAAATAAAAATGAACACAAGACAGTGTGATAAAAGTATGGGTGTATATATGTGGAAACCAAGGGATATATATTTAACTCATTAGAGTAGAATCAACAGACATATTACAAATATCTAAAATGTTCTGCAATTCTGATGTAACTTTTATAAAGATAATGTTTTCTAATTTCTTTCTTCTTGCTATAAATCTCAAGATTTTTTAATAATTATTTGCCCCTCATTCAACTTTTCTGGCTCTCAATGCCTGTTGTAATAAAATCAAAGCAACCACATTCCACCTTGAAATGATTTTTATGTTGCCACTTCAGACAAATGCAATAAGAAATGATGCCCTTAAAGTCATAATAACCTAAAATTTTTTTCCCAGAAAAAAAAGTGTGTCTGACTCCTCAAAGACCATACAAAATGTATGATCACACGTAAACAACTCTAACATAAAGATAAAACAGGAAGGTCACATACAGTTCACTTTTAGGTTTATCTTATATTTCCAAACCTTTTAGATATTAGTATCATGAAGGGAAGCAAGGAACAGCTCATGGGAATACTTCTAAATGGGAACATTTAATGAGAACACCATAAGATGAATTTTTCTGTTCTGCACAGCTGCAGTACCTATCGAGGTACCGTTAAATAAATATTTCAGAAACTGTCTTTGGTCACGCATGTTCCTATTTTGAAGGGGCATGTGTGAGATACAAAGTTACTCAAAAAATATTTCCTCTATCTTTCATATAACTTGTACATGATCTCTGCTTGAGCAAAATCACATTTATCGTGTCCTTTTCTGAACTGCAGTATCATAGTCGAGTCCCCCCAGGGTTGTTTTTCCTTAGGGAGTAAGTCTAAGCTGTCAGTGCTGAGTTTTTAGAGGACGGAGGGCGGGGCGCTGTCCAGGGTGCTGAAGTTGGCACTGTCCGGGACTGCACGAGGTACAGCGCTCATATTGGCTCCTTCGGGTTCCCTTTTTTAAGGAGAGGCTTCTCGGAGCCTGGAGAGCTGTTGCTCTCAGTTGCTTAACCCTGGGGTCCTCCGTGCGCCCCGCTGCGAGCCCCGCGCGGTGCTCGGTGCGTCTTAGCCCCGCGCCTGGTTCTGCGACCTCACCCTCCTCAGGGAGGAACTGTCAGGGACTGTCTCTGTCCTTCGGGCCCCACTCACCTCCTTACTCCGGCTCTACTCCTAGGTCGCCCTTCCACACTCACCTGCCCGGCCCTCTCCGGGTTCCCTCGAGCGCGAGGAGAGGAAGTGTTCAGGCTGCTCCCGTGGCGAGAGACCGTCCCCAGCTTCCACGTCCTGAAGGCTACCGTGACTCTTCTTAAGCGATGGGAGTGTTCGGCGACTCTTCAAGTCTACGTCAAAGCGCCTGGAAATCGCCGCCACCTCTCGCCTCCAAGTCCATCTCCCGCACCCTCCGCTCCCCTCCCTCCCCTGGGGATTTCAGTTCAGGAAACAGGCAGGCTTGGCCACACGCACTCCACCTGGCGGCACCGAGCCTTCGTGCGGTTGGCTTCTCCGTCCCACCTCGGGAGGAGTGACATTACGCGCGGGAACCAGAAAGTTGGGGCCCAGCTCCGCGCCGGTTCTGCGGAGAGTGGGGCTTCCCGGATTCCCGCTCTCCCCGCCGCCTCGTCTGAGAATAAAGGGAATTGAGGGATGTGAGGGAAGACCTTGGACTCTCAGAGTTAGAGGAGGGACGCCCCCCCCCGACGGTCGGCAAAGGCTCCGAGGAAATAAGGAGGATCCCTGCGACATGCGGGGTATGAACTTCTCCTGCCTGACTGTGGCCCTGGGCTGGAAGAAGAAGAGAGGGAGCTGGGGCTGCGGGAAGCTCCCTGTGACTGGGGCCGGGAGACGTCGTGTCCAGGCTCTAGCCTGGGTCCCCTCAGGAGCCAGGGCTGCTGCTGCCAAAGCTTTCCTTAGCGCACCACTCCCGATTTCCCAGCCAGATCTGCGCTTTCCAAGAAGAGGAAGTGCCTGGGATCCCCTTCCATTCTTGCCTCAGATCTAGTTAATATCTTAGTCCCAGGTTAGAGACCTGTCACTCCTTCAGGGCTCTGCTGAGCATTAGTGTCCACCTTAATTGAAACACACCCAGCCAAGGGCCCGGAGGCAAAAGTCTCTCCTTTGCTCCAGGTTTGCCCCTTGCCTCAAAATCCCCTCAACATCCTGAAGAACACTTGTAGTCCCCACTAAACAAAAGATTTTGTGCCAGCTCCATAGTATCCATGGTTACCTTCCAGAAAGACACAGGGCTTTATAGTGAGGTTTACTGAAGCCACGGGGAACCAGCCCCCTCCCCAAGTGCAAGGAAGAAGTAGCTCTGAAGAGGGGTGCTGAGAGGCTCTGGGCTTTTGCTCCTGCTCAGAAACTGGATGGAGTGTACTTCAGTTTCTCCATCTGTGAACGGGGCATACTAACACCTGCTGCTATATACCCCCTAGGTATGTAGGAAAAGGTCAAGGGTGAAGTCTTGGATTTGCTTCCTGAACTTCAAGGAGCTTGTCACAGCCTTTTGGGGAAGGTTATCAGAGAAGCAAGGCATTTTAGCACAGTGTGTCAGCACAGGGATATAGGTATGTAGGAAAAGGTCAAGGGTGAAGTCTTGGATTTGCTTCCTGAACTTCAAGGAGCTCACAGCCTTTTGGGGAAGGTTATCAGAGAAGCAAGGCATTTTAGCACAGTGTGTCAGCACAGGGATAGAGATTAGCATGGGAGAACCCTGAGGAGAAGAAAAGGGTGGGAGGGAGAAAAGAAAGCATCTCAGGGAGGTGAATCACAGTGAACTTTTTGAAAAAGGAGTTTTACAGGTGTCCTAGAGCCAAAGGGCAGAGATAGGAGGAGGTCTGCTCCAAGTGGAGAAGACAGCAGAGGCAAAGGCATGGGGGAGGACTCACAGCACTTCTATGCTTCTGGGGAGCAAAGTCAAGGAAAGGAGTGTAGAGAGAGAAGGCTGAAGGCAGGGAGGAATGTGGGGATTTAATTCTGGTTTGGGACATGTTGACAGTTATGTTACTCTTGAAAACATTGATGTATAAATATGCAGTGCTTATTTTATTTTTGAGTGCCTACATATCAGGCACTATACTACATGCAGAAAGAGCAAAACAAATTCCCTGCTCCCATGAAGCTTACATTCTAGCTGGGGAGGGGGATTTAAATCTATATTTTAATTTTAAGTTTACATATACACATATACTCATATAAATAAGTATAAATATACACACATACGTGCACACACATATATAATAATTTATGCTTTGAGTTTCCATGTTGAGTAGTGAGTTCATAGCTATGAATATCATAAACGAACACATAACTAGCTAATTAAATAAACAAGGAGTGCCATGCATTTGGTCAATAATGAACACCTTTCATTCTGAAGCCCCCTCCAAAAAATATACATGTAAAGTGTCAGATGTGATAAGAAAAAGCAAAGCGTTATCAAGAAAAAGTAAAGCACAATTAGAAAAGAATGATGGAGAAGAGCTATTTTATATAGAATACTAAGAGAAGCTCTTCCTGATGAGAAAATATGAGTAAAATTCTAATAAAATGAAAGGGTGAGTCATGCATAATGAAGGAATGATCCAGTTTGCAGGTGGGGGAAGCAAGGACAATGACCTTGTCACAAGTGTAATGTGAGAAGAGTGTTTTTGGTGTATACTGGTAGGAGAAGAGGTCAGAGAGGTGGTCAGAAGTCCATTCTGGCTGCTCAGTGGAGAACAGACTGGAGAGAAGCAAAGGATGAGGCAGGAAGTTCAGCTAGCAGCTGTTGCAATAATTTAGGTGAGACGTGGTAATGGAATAGATAAGGGTGGTAGCAGTGGAGATGATGAAAGTGATCATATTGTAACTATATTTTGATAACAGAAGGAACAGGACTTGTTGATGGACTGGATATGGGGTACAAGAAAATGAAAGAAATGGAAGACAATACTAAGTTTTGGGTGCTAAGCACTGGGAAGTTGGAATTACCATCAGCTGGAAATAAAAATGGCTATAGGAATAGGTTTAGAAAAGGGAAATCAAGAATCTGGTTTTGAACATGTTAAGTCTGAGATGAGTGATATCCAACTGGAGATGGTGAGTAGGCAAGGAAGAGGTGGAAACTGGAAATAAACATTTGGGATACAGCACTTAGGAAAGAAGTCTAGATTTGGGATCTGGTCAACATGTAGGCAATCCTTTAAAACATGAGAGGAAAGTAGGGAAAATGGGTACAAGAGTAGCCTGAG